TAATAAATTAGAATGGTAATTGTGCGAAGGGCGAAGATGTATATCACTGCTGGTAGCGGGATATAAAAGTTTACGAGATTTTGCGGATCTTTTTCAGCTTTATTGAAACGTCGATACGCGTGAAGGAAATCTCACACTGTTTTCGATTAAATTAAACAATCCCTACTATTTAACTATTAATGTCAGGAAAATTGCGCGTCTCTGCTGACCGCGAAACCTCGCAACCTCTTAAACTGACCGGGAGGGAATTAAGTTTAAACCAGAATTTACTCCACCTAAATTGGATAATTGAAACGCCGGAATTAAGATCTCCATCCTGTATAGGATCAAAACGAAACATCGTTTGACCAAGCAAAACTTCTCATTGTCGAACAGGAGAATATCGCGGGCGGTATAAAAGTTAATTGTATAAATAAACAGAGGTCAATTGCAATATAATGTAATTCTAGTTATTAATTAAGAATACCAGCTCGCTGGACGGATCGATGTAGAAAGACTAAAGACGGAAAGGATAAAAAGACTAAAAACGCACAGAATTCAGGTCGTAGGATGCGGGAATTTAATGTGCTACTTGTTCATTTAATCTGGATGTGGTTCTACATGCAAAAGAATAAAATTATTCGATGGACGGACGAAATAAAAGGAAAAAAATGGTTAACTTTCAAATCGCGAAAGTTGTATTTTTCAGACGAGCGACTCTCGATAAATAAAACTTTCGAGAATACAGTGCTAAATTCAATACTGAATCTGAAACACTCTTGGGAACGACTCTCTCAATCATAAAACTCTTTGAGCAACCTAGAATACCTGATTGCAATTATCGCGCAAAGTTGCTGTTGTCGAGAGGCTCTTTGGAGAATAAAACTTTCAAGCAGACACTCGGTCTAAATCTATGGTAAGAGCGAAATAGGCAATTGTTTGACGTAATGGATGGAGTGACATTTAGTTCAAGATCGTGACGTGGTATAGCTTCTGCGCGACTTGTCAAAACTTCCCCCGGTAAAATAATCATGAATTATCATAGAGAGACGATACGCGCGTTATTCTCACAACTGTATATAAGATCGAAAAAAAAGTTGTCCGCAATGTAATTAAAAGCGTGACAACGTTGGCGGATGGGTATTTGCGCAACAATCGGACGATATATGCGGGACGTGTTCCAAAAAGATATATGTCTACCGCAAGAAAAAAAGTGTGAATTATTTAGATTATACAATTTGTGTAACGTATAATTATCAGTCACGAATTTGGTACGAAATGTATGCAAGTACGCAGAGAGAATTTTTCGTTATATTTTATCACAAAATTTATTACAAAAAGCTGGATTGAAAATATGCATTTTAAAATGTATGTAAAATATTTTACCACTTTTGTGGTGATATCTATTCTATCTAAAGTTTAAAATTATACTATATTTTAGTAAAATTAATCAAACATTTTTTTTATCTCTTTGTGGTAGATATTAATATTTTTATTGTAGTAAAAATTAATCAGAAAATCTCTTAAAATTTGTTCAATCTTACCATGATTTTCAGGGTTAATTCTAAGAAAATTCTCTCTGTGTAATAATTCTTCAAAACTTGTACTTAATTTCGAAAACGTTCAGCGAAGATTTCAAACCAAATCGAAGAGTAGCTGATGATAGATCGTAGAGATAGCCCCCTGAGTTGGATCTTTCGTATAAGAAAGGAGGAAATTCCAAATTCTTTTAAAGAGTACGTGTATAATCCTACATTATTATAGGTACGATATGTTAAAGACATATAGTTGCGCAGATGTGGGATTTAAAGTAACATATGTCCCATCCCTCTCCCTTTACGATACTCGTATTAGTGATAAGATTTTTCTATTATCTCTTTCTCTCTCTCTTTCTCTCTCTTTCTCGCTCTCTCAGTTGATATTATACTGTAGGCGCGATTCATCCTTATTGTAAATCAATTGCAGCGCAATGTGTTGTAACGCGAAATCGCAAACAGATATTTCTTTATTTAAAGATTGTACATACTAGCGAAAAAAAAAAACGCGCGTCACGCGCCATTTTGACGATAATGTCTCCAGCTTTTCGCATGATTGTAAAGGAAAAATTGCAACCTTTTTTCTTTCACCGAATCGAACATGGAAATTCTCGATATTTTTCCAGCATACAGAATCTCTGAATTGATATTGTACTCGCAATGCTCAACACGGCTTATACGTCAATTGTTAATTAATTTCGCGCTGCCGATGACGCGCAGACTTTCATGCAAAAGTCATGTACATTTAGCCTACCGCGTTTACCTTTCGTAGTTTAACTTTTTAAGGTTCTCGGGATTAGTTTGTTAGATATTTATTTGATAACTAATTAACGTAAGTAATTTATATATTCGCTGTAGCTGCTATAAACACATAAGTGAATTTTAACCGAACCCTTATTCGCGCACGTGCGCGAATAAGGAATCATTCAAACACAGAGGGCTAAATATATACTACTGTTGTGTACAAATTGTGTGGGACGGTGGATGTAAATGCGGATGTTGTGAAGAAAAAAAAAAGAAAGAAAGAAAGAAACGGCCGACGCGACGACGAGGAATGGAGCTCTGCGCTAATCAAAAAAATGAAATATATTAACGATGATAATCTTTCTACAATCTCCATTCGTATGTACACTTTTTGTACGCTTGCAAATTGTAGCGAACAGTTGAAGTCGTATGAGAAGGATGCGTTTTTTCTTCTGGTCTGTTAGTCCTTGAAATTTTGTATCGCGTGCATGAATAAACGAGACATTTCATTGCAGACGAGCGAAACGAGATATGTAATAAAGTACCATTTAGAGCTTTATAAAACTCTCTTTCTCTCTCTCTCTCTCTCTCTTTTCTCTTTAATCTATAATATTCGGAAAAATTTATTATTTTGATTCTGGCATATAATCAAACTTTTGATATTTCTTTCATCTCGAATAAAGATAAAACGCAAATTATAAAATAACAGACGGGCGTCCGCAGAATTTTTTCTAGGCAGGGGTATGATTAAATCTTTTGTTTCTTATCATTCTTTCTTAATTTTTTAAATTCGATTTTTTATTATTTTGTTATTTTAATATTTTTATATTAAATAGAATTGCAAATTATATATATATTCTCTTGCTTATGATAACAGATATGTGTTGCATAAAAAATTGATCTGCACATGTAGCCTATCTCGCTAATGGTTTCTTAAATATTGATCAAAATATGAGTAAGTAACAGTATTGATAGATATTAGAGTCGATAGTGAAATAATCTAATCAGTAATGATGATAAAAAAATCGTAACAACGCCTTACTTAGTCACTCGTGTAAGTTAAAAACGACGATATCATTTCGTAGATATATATATATATATATATATACACACACATAGAGCCACGAATGAATACATAATATGTGATATTGCAGATGTAATAATCATATGATTCATTTCTAAAAGTCAAGATCTGTCTGCTCCGATCTTTCCTTCGTCGTTTGAAAAAAATTCCTAGTTAGATGACAAATCGATTACTCTGTGAAAAATAAAATTTGCGCGCAACAACATTAGCGTGATTTCTGAAATGTGAATTTCCGATCAATATCGCTAATATCGCTTACTTACATCGCGGGAAATTAAGAGACCGTGTCCCCGCAAAACTGGGACGAGTTCATCCGTGGAAAGTGAATTAACCGCGGCCTTGAATTAACGCAACCTGGCATAAGAAAACGCGACACGACTACGCCTGCCTGTGAAAGGAGATTGCTACTTGCTATCGATGTTTCGCCGAGAACTAATGCCCGGGACATAGTCATTGTAACGGTTGTCTTATTACCACGACGTATGTATACACAAAACATCGATATATAAGTATCGAATTAACTTTCACATCGATGTATGCCGATTTCCCATTTAGAATTATCTCTCGCACAACGCTGATGAGTTAACCCGATTAATAGAAATGAAGCCTTTTTTGTTCCGTACCCAGCGAATCCCTTATATACAGTTAGATTCCCGACATTTGTCCTCAGCGAAAATGTCATTATTTTTTACATGTTCCTCATTTTTGTTATCGCACATGGGCCAGTTCCACCATCTCCGATTATCTTGATCGATTAAATTTAAGAATGCAATAAACTTGTTATGAAAATGTAGATAAAGTTGATCAATTTTAAGTTGGCAATTTTTAAATTTAATCAACCAGGAGATGGTGAAACTGGCCCTGTGTCTTTATTATAATTAAGCCTTCAATTGAAATTCTATTGAAGTAAACTCTACCTAAAGTTACCTGAAGAATGTGGTTTTGTTAATATTTTGTTTCCACAAGACTTGGATTTGCGAAAAACTCTTTATTTTCAATCGCTTATAACTTGCAAATTATTGGCGACTCAACATTTTTGCTGAAGAAAAATCATCTCCAAATGACGTCAGGAATTTACTGTAAATCAGTGATTCACTGAATACATCACGTAGATAAATTACAGACCGATATTATATCATATTCCTTACCAAAAAAGTAAACATCTTTTATTCTTTGGTAAAATCGGAGCAAATGCATCATTTTTTTATAATTAAATCTAATATTCATGTTACATATCAAAACCAGAAAGCACACTTTGCTGCCACAAAAGAATTTATTTTACGTCGACTAAAATAAATAAATGTATTCAAATCGTTATGAAAATTTAGCTATTACACTTGAAGCAAAATTATCAAAATTCCTACAAATAAAAAGCCAAGAAATTATATTGGAATATTAAAATATGGGACTTGCACTCTGTAGAACAGACGCGTGTGCATCTAACACGCAGGTATATAAAAAGGAGTATATATATATAAAATAGTTTGGAAATTATTTATACACGCGATAAGAGAGGATGCAGATGGCCAGAGTATATCGCAGACCGGAACGATTCGAGATACCCCGATGCGATCTGACAGTTCGTCTAAAGGCGAGCGTGTGCTTCTAGCTGATACCTTACCTACCGGCATGGCACACTCTTTGTGACTCACCGGAGTGAGTCCGACATTCAGTCCGCGGCGGACTACGAAGCCGTCGACATCGGGCGCGTGTCCACGTCATTGTGCTCGCTCCGAGCTGGCTTCAAGTGATCTCGCTTAGGTGATCATTACCATCTTCGGATTGTGTGTCACGTGCGTTACGTGTGTCGACGACATGAGTGTTCGAGCCGGCTAAGGCGAGCAGTTCAAGCGATTCACGACCCCGAGGAAGCTTCAATTTCGCGACAACATGGTAATTGAAAATTAAATAGTAAAGTAACGTCGTTAGCTTTTCGTCGATCGAGAGATTTTACTCGTATCTGCGAAATAGATTTCTCTCGGTTAAATGGAATAGAAAATATAATACAACATTTATTTATTCATTATAATACATATTATAATATTAGATATATAATAATATGCAAAAATTTATATAATTGTCTGATTGAGATGAAAAAAGTCGAATTTTCTCATTATATGATACTAAGTAATGTAATCCTTATAATAAATATTTATTTAGCGTGTCTTGTACAAGGAGCGAAATTCCAGAAAAACTGGAATACAAATATGTGTTCTGTCATATTCGATCTGACCTCGGAATAAACTTTAAATGTCTTAGCTCGGATTGTTTCGCTTGTTTCGCTTTGACTCCTGAATCGTGAGTAATGAAGATTCTCTTGTGGTCGAGAATGACGTCAGAAATATTTCCTCAGGGTTCTTAGCTTCGACAAATAATTTATTAAATTAGATTTATAATTATGTAGGAAAAACTCTGTCCCTGTTTATAATATGCAAACAAGAGAATATAATTATATTCGATATTATATATTATATTCAAACGGAGAACACAAACTTGTGCGAGGAATGAATGATCAAGTAATGGGTTATCGCCTCTTTGTTGTTCTTTGTCTGACAATTCTTGAACGGGAAACGATTCATTTTCTCAATGGCAAGAACGAAACGCTTTGGCACGCCGTGCGTGATGCACATTCTTAAAAGCAAGGATGATTGAGTGTCCTCGTGTAAAAAAAAATAATGCAACCTTTCCGACGTTATGTTTCGTCGACTCAACGACAGGGAGGAGATTGCGCAGACGACTCGGAATTAATCGAAAACCGATAATTATCTTATTTTACATCGTGAAAGAACGTCATCCTCATTATATGTCTCATGCACAAAGGCCATCGCGTGCAAATTGTCCACGAGAAGATAGATGGAAACATATTACCGACGTATTTGATACAGTTCGGTTAAGCGATCTCTCGTTTCCACGAAATCCATTAATCATCGAAGAAGCTTCAAATTTTTGAAAAATTATCGAATCACATTTCGCGCAAAAATGATCGAAATATAATTTTAAAAATGTCTCAGTAATATTTTTAACAGTGATGTAAAATAATGGAGGATGTTTAAAACGATTTCTTCCTGAAATTTTACACATTGGTTCCCACGTGACTTCGATATCGGAGACTTTGACAGAAAGTATAAAAATAATTTTGAGCGATCGTTTCTCCACGAAATCCATTTCAGAATTTTGAAAAATCATCACCGAAAAAATTGTATTCTAAGCGCCAAGAGAATCCTCTTAATGTAAGATGATATTCTTAATTTATTCTTATTTTCCGAAAAAATATACTAAAATTTAAAGAAATTTCTGAAATTAAGAGGATCCTCTTGGCGCTTAGAATACAATTTTTTCGGTGATCGAGTCACATCTCGCGCAGAAATTATCGTTAATATATTAAAAAAAAGGTCTCAGTAATATTTGTAATAGTGCTGTAAAATAATGGAGGATATTTAAAACGATTTCTTTCTGAAATTTTACATCGGCTTCCACGTGACTTCGATATCGGAGACTTTGACAGGAGGTATAAAAATAATTATTATTTGTAAGAGAATATTGGCAGATAGCGATTGCGCACTGATGCAATATATATGCACGTGTCGATCGTTTCTTAATCAATATATAAAACAAGATTATGGCATTGCTGCACGCGCGTCCCTCGCAATGAGTCACGATGGAGTTTAAACAGGTTCGTTGAACTAGTTCGCGCCTTTTCTTTTCCTCTACGACGCTCTTCACTTTCCTGAATGAGGTAGACATCTCGTCGGGAGAATCTCGTAGGCGAATCTTTCTCTCTATTTGGCTCGAAAGACGTTTCGAAGAAACGACCGCGTATTCAGCATGCGTCATAAGAGCAAGTGCATAAATGCATCGGGTTGAATATGCTATGATTATTCACTTACGTTCTAAGACCAGAGAGTCGTCATCTTTTTCTTTACAAGGATATTTCCACAAATTTTCGAACGTCTACATCCTTTGAGCATCCGCAGGGAAGAGGTAGATTTGTTCTCCCTTGGAATCAGTAGAAAATTTAAGCATTTGCTCTCCTTTTGAATAAACGTGGAATTTATTTGCTTATTTAAATATCAAAAAAATTACAATAAAAATAAAAAATTCAGAAAGACCAAAAAAATTGTAATCATGCCCTTCTTGGAAAGCATTTGCTCTCCTTTTGAATAAACGTGGAATTTATTTGCTTATTTAATATTAAACAAATAAAAATAACAAAATAAAAGAATTAAGAGAGAAGAAAAAAATCATGAGTTACAAAAAATGCTGCGGATGCTCAAGTCTACATATCTCACAGAAATATATATTCGGGGAAGCGCGAGAAAATCTCTATTCTCTCGCAGAGATCGCTGCGCGTTTATTCTAATAGTTCGCATTATAGGAATTCGCGAAGAATGCGGATGCGTTCGTCCAGCTGGCGGCTCCAAATGCGATTCCTCTTCATTTTCGCGACGATTTCCGCGGAACAATATTATCGGACAGTTTTATTCATGAGGCGAAATTCTCTCCAATTGGCGGCTATCTGAATAGCCCATCGGCCACGCGAGAAATCAGAGCGATAGTAATAGTATAGGGACGTGAATCAATCGTCACTGATGCGTGTATAATGACGTATCTTAAAGCCCTCCTCGATAAGGTATGCGAATAACCCTCTCTCTCTTCCCTCAGTCTCTCGCTCTCTCCCTACCTGGGAACACCTTTGCGGCTGTTATTACGCGCCGAGGATTTTACGGTTATGCACATTGCGTACACCGACCGATCTAATGGAACATCCTGTTAGGACGACTTGCGTCGACTTAACCCGATGACGTTCCATCGCACCGATATCGGATCGATAGGTACATTTATTTTAAAAGAGCGATGGGGAGGAGAACACCGAGTTTTTTCAGAGAATTATCACGCGAGGGGTGACAGATACGCATTTTTATTCCCTCATAATGCCAGAGTGCGCGCAAAACTTGTCTCTTTTATTTTATGACGACATAATTAAATTGATCATTTTAATTCGAATGAACTAGAGGCGGATGTGGAGCAGCATAATGTCATCGCTTCGTCTCTCGATCGGCGGCGCTCGACGAAAGAGGAATATCTTTATCGCAAAGAGATGAGTTAAGCAACGCCAACACGTCCTTATCAGGGACGCGCGCAAACATCTAATCTAACGAGATGATAACGCGTGCGTCCTTGCACCGCGTGTTTAAATCATCGCGGCATTGTTAATCGCTTGGAAGGATAAGTGGTAACAAGGCCGATCGAGAGAGAAAGAGATGAAATAGCGTCTCATTGTCCGAGGAATTGCAAGTTGGCGCGCTTTCCGCAATGCCATGAGATAATCCTTCCGAGAAAATTCTATATCAACGGACGTCCCCACCTGCTGTGAGTCACGAGATTATTTCTCAGATCATTTCTTTTAATGAGTAACGCTCTCGAGTCATAGAGGAATATTTTTTCTCACGCGTCGATCACGCGATATGGATCCTTTCCTTAAAGAGTGCGTGTTAAGTCTATTACTCGAATATATCGAAATTTCATAGATGATTGATAAAGGATATGATAGTCTCAAACCAAGAGACACAGTTCCTAATTAAATCTTGGCGATCTGTCAAGTTTAAAAATTCGCGAAAAGAATGAATTTTCGCACGCGTTGGCTCTTCGGCCGATTTAATTTAGATATATACAATATTATATAAAATTAAATATTAAAAAATCAATTGTATTGTTATCGCTTTTCGAATTTATACATGTAAATTTGTAAATGTTTCGTGATCACTCTGATCATAATCGATTATTCAATATTGTTGGAGTAACATTATCTCTTATTCTTTGTCAAATTTCTGATGAGAAAACTTTAAAATATCAACATCAAAAATAAATGTTGAATTATATTATTATCGTTTTTCGGATTTATACATGTTAATGTTTCGTGATACACCCTAGTCATAATTTATTATCTAATTTCGTTGGAGTATATTATTTTCTCTTATACGTCAATATAGATTACTTAAAAATTATATGTCAAATTTCTGATGTGTGTGTGAGAAAACTTTGTAATGTCAACATCAAATGTCAAAATTAAATGTTAAAACGGCACCATCGCTTTTCGGATTTATACATGTAAATGCTTCGTGATTATTCTGGTCATAATCGATTATCCATAATTTCGTTGGAGTAACATTTTCTCTCATATGTCAATATGAATTACTTAAAAATCTTTGTCAAATTTCTGATGAAAAAACTTTGAAATGTCAAAATTAAATGTTAAATCGCACTATTATCGCTTTTCGGATTTATATATGAAAACGTTTCGTGATGCACTCTAGTCATAATCGATTATCAAATTTTGGTTGGCTTATCGATAACAAGAGGTTCTCTTATCATTTGACAATGAGCAATTTCCTGCGCGAACGAATTACGTTAAAAAACCTGACTACAAATCACGACGAAAAGTAATGAAATAAAAAAATAGAAGTAACACATTTTAATCAAACTAAAGTAGAATAATATCGCGCGCTGTACAATAATACAACACCTGTGATTCTTTATTACACTTTTTTCAGATCCAAGCGCGCACTTTTTTATCAACATATATCATTGGAATTAAATCCAAATTAAAAAATTCTATAAAATAAAAGAGAATCACGGAGAATAGAATTTTAAAAGAATTCAGGTCATTTTAAATACTAACTGTAAAATGTCAGATGGATCGCTGTCTCTTTTGTGGAGAATCAAAGTGATACACTGCGACAAGTCTTCTCGAGCGAAATATTCTTTCAGATCCAAACGCATTTTTTTTAATCAACATTCATCATTGTAAGTTTGAATCAAATATTTTAAATCAAAAATTCGATAAAATAAAAAAAATCACGTGGGATAGAATTAAAAAATAATTCAGATCGTAATGATTTTGAAATACTAACTTTAAAATGTCAGATGGATCGAATTGCTCTCTTTTGTGGAGAATGAAAAAGTGATACACCACGACAAGTCTTCTCGAGCGAAATATACGACATTCGCGACGACGGCAGCAACGATATCTCGTCGACCGCCGGCGCGGCAGCGGAACTGCGGTGAACGAACAGACAGTTTCATTGCGCCGGCTGCGGCGGAAGCCGTGAAATCATGCTCTCTGTTCTCTCTTCTCTCGTATGTATGGCACGCGTCGTACAACAAGAGGGAACGTTATGCGATCGATGGCGCGGTCAGTAGCCCCATCAGTCATAATTAACCGACTCCGCAATGGCCCTCTCTCTCTCTCTCTCTCTCTCATCTCGTTGATCGAGCAGCTTGATGACCGGTCGCTTCAATTGTGTTGACCAAATTTGTCCATCGCTGAAACTGCGATGAGAGAGAAATGCGGGAAGCGTATCCATTCGGCTCGTTTTATCGCCTGGACATCTGGACATTCGTGTTGTTCGCTTCCCGACCCTCTATTGATCGAAATCCCATTTTCTTCTTTTCTTTCTCTCTGACTTTTTCAGCCGCCGTTTTATACTCTGTTTACGAGTTCATTCGCGTGTTGCATCTGCGCAAATTGTTCTGCCAATACAGATCGATCCCGTTATGGCCAAAATGTCAACGATGCAATGACATGTGGCACGATCGATGGTGATACGGTCTTTAGAGAGGATGAGAGGGCAGGAAATTATACGCGGATTACATACATTCATGGGCTTCCGCAGGGATTCGGTAAAAAATTAAGCATTTGCTCTCCTTTTAAATAAAGACTGGAATTTATTTTATTTAATATAAAAATATTAAAATTACAAAATAATAAAAAATTGAATTTAAAAAATTAAGAAGGAATAGAAAAAATCCTGCGACCGATGCAAAAATTCTTATATACTTGTATACCTAATACATTTCCTAAAGTTAGAAATGTTATCTAATTCTGCTCTATACGAAATATACATGTAACTTTATATAATTTACTATCTGTAAGACCGTAATCAATAAACGTCACTCGTATTAATCCGTTAATTGACTTTGACCGACTTCCTACGATGGATTATATAACCGCTCGTTTAAAAAGTAATTAAGATGGATGCCCCGTCAAGGAAGGGAAGGTCACGGAAGGATACATCTCACATGTAGCTGCATTATATTAAATTGCATTATATTAGATTCTCCTTCATATGGGTGTCGTCGAAAAAGAATCACCCGACCGGAAGTTTCCGTATGCGCTGACTTTGATTTCTCACATTTCCCAACGTCCGAGAGAATGCTCGTTTCTACTTCTCTCTCTCTCTCTCTCTTTCTTCTTTTTCACACATCAAACTTCCATTCTTAGACTGTTTTTGTACGACCAGTTCTCACTCGAGGTACGGTTTCTTTTCTTTATCGCGTATGCAAATCGCTTACATAATTATACAAAGAGAGAGAAAGAGAGAGAAAATTATTTAATTTAGTAAAATAAATAGAAAGAGAAAAAGACTCCGATATAAAATCTCGATGTGTACAATTTTATTAATATTTCCTTTCTACTCCGATCCGACGAAATAAATATACATGAACAGATACTTGAATAAGGATTATACTTTTACGATGTAAAAATTTTCGAACGCATCTCTGACAGAATGTATAGAGAGTGCATAGTGCTACGACATCGAGTCTTGCCTTAATATGTCAAGCTTGTTTAGAAAATACGCTATATATAAATAATGCATAAAGTATAACGTCTATTATAAGCTACATAGGTAAAAGGGCGCTGGCAAAAGCGCAGATTGAACCTCTCTGTTAAAAGAAGAACGGAAGCGATCGATAAATCGGGCGATCCGTGAAATGTCGGAGCAAATAAGCTTGCGATACTCTCGGCACAGAAAAAAAAAATCAGTAATTGGATACGAATCAGTAAATTGGATTCGTGATTTGCGCTCGCCAATTCGCTCGCGAATCGAAATGATTCATTCGTAATTGACTAAATTTTCCTCGCCTTTGCAGCAACATTAAAATTGCGCGATTTACGTGATTACGGTCAATAAATTAATTTACAATTTCAGGTGTACCACTGGCAGAGTCAAAATGTCAAAATCTCCGGGGTGGACGACATGGTCCTCCTGCCGAAGATCAACGCGGAGTCCATCATCGAGAATCTCAAAAAGAGATACTTGGACGATTACATATTTGTATCCTTTTTTGCTCTATTACTTGGATATTTTCTTATTTTATTAAATGTCAGAGGGTTATATCATTGTTTCTCGGTGAAGAGAAAATCTGCGCAAATTCCAAGGCGTATCGCGATAATCTAATTAAATAATGGTAATTGAAACATTTCTTAACAATTACACCAGACATGCATCGGACCCGTGTTGGTATCGATTAATCCTTTCAAGCAAATGCCGTATTTTGGAGAGAAGGAGATTGAGATATATCAAGGCGCGGTAAGTGCTAGTATAAATTTTATATTGATTTACATTTTTTCTCAGATATCGGAATTTTACACTATAAAGTTATTGTTATTATTTAGGCGCCGTATGAAAATCCACCGCACATTTATGGACTGGCCGACGAAATGTATAGAAACATGCTGATTGACAACGAAAGTCAGTGTGTCATCATAAGGTAAACAAATAAGACTCTTAAGAGTTTCTCTTAATTAATATATTTGCCACAATAAAAAATATTAATATCTACCACAATAAGATATAAAATATATTCCGATTAATTTTACTATGTAATTTTTTATTGTGGCAAATATTTAATCAGAGAAGCTCTTATATAAAATTCTTTCAATATTGTCCTACGATTACTATAATTTTGAAGGAAAATTCTAAGAGAAAATTCTCTCCGTGTATTATGTATATTTGAATCTTAGATGGAAAAAAGATTATTTTCACAGAATAGCACATAAAAATACTTTATTGGAACTTAAGCAGTAAACGATAAACAAATCTTAGAAGCTCATTTTTTCTCAAGTTTGCCAATACGTTCTTATATCGAAAAAAATATACTCGTATATTTTACTATATATATTTTTAATTAAATTTATAGTAATATAGAGAGTAGAGAGAGAGAAATAAAATTGAATTAAAATAAATGAATTTACTTTGCAGCGGTGAATCTGGCGCAGGAAAAACGGTAGCTGCAAAATACATAATGTCCTACGTAGCAAGGGTGAGCGGTGGCGGCAAAAAGGTGCAAAAGGTAAAGGACGTAATCCTGGAATCGAACCCGCTTTTGGAAGCCTTTGGCAACGCGAAGACCGTGAGAAATAATAACAGCAGTAGATTTGTACGTATTCATACGAATTTTCCCTGATTTTCGCTATTTCGTGAGAACAAAGAGCGCGAAGGTAAGCTCGATATATTTTCAGGGAAAATACGTCGAGATGCAATTTGGCTCGGGAGGTCAGCCAAACGGTGGCAAGATCTCGAATTTTCTCCTGGAAAAGTCAAGAGTAACCCGTCACAATCCGGGCGAGCGAAATTTCCATGTATTTTATCAGCTGGCGACAGGCGCCAATCAGGAGATGAAGTGTGAGCATACGTAATTGACAAATATTATATACAAAGTGTCCCGTAAAGACCGGATTAATGTTCAAAAGTAGATTTTTAGGATCATTTAGAGACGATTTTTCTTCGATGAAAATTTTGTGGGAGATCATCATTTTTTACATACTCTCCGTTTTTGCCATCGTGCATCTTTTGTAGCCAAGCGTTAAATTAAAATTCTATTCAAATCAACTCTACTTGAAATTAATCGAAGAATGTAGTTTTATTAATAATAACTCGAAAATCATTGCTGATGTGAAAAAAATTAAACTAGAGTCGCGATATTAATGAAACGTTTAAATATTTTCAGCGGAATTCGGATTAACGAATCTGGGATCATTTAGAGACGATTTTTCTTCGATGACAATTTCGTGGGAGATCATCATTTTTTGCATGCTCTCCGTTTTTGCCATCGTGCATCTTTTGTAGTCAAGCGTTAAATTAAAATTCTATTCAAATCAACTCTACTTGAAATTAATCGAAGAATGTAGTTTTATTAATAATAACTCGAAAATGATTGCTGATGTGAAAAAAAATTAAACTAGAGTCGCGATATTAATGAAACGTTTAAATTTTTCAGCGGAATTCGGATTAACGAATTTGGATTATTATCAATATTTGAGTCATGGTGGCAATTATACGGTGGACGGCACGAACGATGCGCGGGATTTTCAGGAAACTCTTAAAGGTATGACGGATTAAATTATATCACACAATCTATTTTTTCATTTTGTGCAATTGAATAACTAATAATGTACGATTATTCCAGTACATCGTTTTATCTTCTTTTTTCTAATTAACAATAACGTCATCGTATTGTTTATAATAATCATATATCGTTTGCAGCGTTGAGCGTGATGAATATAAAGGACACAGAAGTGATGGATATATTCAAATTGGTAGCTGGGATACTTCACGTGGGAAATATACAGTTTGCCGAGAACGGAAATTATTCGCAAATAGCCGATAAAAAATGTAAGCCACTATCTATCGAGAAATAAAAAAACAATAGTGATTGATTATATATAATTTAAAAGTCTACTATATTATTAATTACTAAGTAAAATAATAAAATCTAACTTTTTATATATATAATATATATAATTAATCGCGCGGCTTTTGACTTATCTATCTACAATCTATCGTGTCCTATCAGTTGGTCCAAGATAAATTAATTGTAATCATATAATATGTATATATATATATATATTATTTATATTTCTGCCGCAAAAGCTTCTCCTAACCGTATGAATATATTTTCAGTTCTCGAGTTTCCAGCCCATCTCTTTGGAATTGCAGCAGATCAGCTATCGCACAAACTCACTTCTCGCGAATTCGAGTCGAAATGGGGAAATCAATCCGATTGTGTGGACGTGATGCTGAATGTGGAACAGGCTCTTTATACGAGGGATGCCTTGGCAAAAGATGTCTACGCTAGACTTTTCGACTACTTAGTCCAGGTGTGACGGAGCATTCATCCCAAATTCATTCAAAAGACTTACAATTAGTCTCAATGCTACATGAAAAATACCAAAAAAAATCTATCTTACGCTAATCGGTCGCGTTTTATTTGTCAGCGATAAGTTTTTATTAGTATAATAATATAAAATTTAAAATTTATGCAATGAATATATGAATTTTTATGAAAGATCAATTTGAACGTTTCTCGAAAATAAATTGACGAAAATTGATCTTTTTGACAAAAATACATTTGCTATATTCATTTCCAATCGATAACTTTTTTCAATAATCTAAAATTCTATAAAAACGCTTAAATCTAGCCTAATCGATTAATTGACATTGATTTTTACAGAAAGTCAATTCCGCCATGGAGACAAACACGGATGGATACGAGATCGGAATTTTAGACATATACGGCTTCGAGATCTTTGAGAAAAATGGCTTCGAACAGTTCTGCATCAATTTCGTGAACGAAAAATTACAGCAGATCTTCATCGAGCTCACGTTAAAGGCAGAGCAGGTAAGTTTCCGTTCATGTATCAGTTTCTTTTTAATTTACACTATAGTAATCTAGTGTTTCATATCTCTCTCTTCGTTCAAGATAATTCAATTGCAAAAGAATATGAGAGAGTAAAAATGTTTTAGCACGGTTCAGCGTGCATTTTTTCGCTTATCTCTCGTCGCTTTGCAAGTTAATATATTACTCTATTATCTTAATTCTCTATATTATAGATAAACATAAAAATATATTAATTTGTATAAATAACGATATAAATATATATATATAGAGAGAGAGTTATGTATTCTTATCATAAGTTGTCATATCAAGCATACATCAAAATGAAGCTTTTAAAGCCAATGACTTGACATGAAATTGAATGACGTTAGATTCTCGCCGAGATAATTTTGTCATTAATCACAGCTAGTCCCCAAGACATCTCTCAAATTTCCTGACACTTGGAAAATGTCGGACTTGTATAAGTTTCGCGAATAATTACTCGATAATTGAAATAAAATTTTCCACCGTCATTCTTCTTTTTGGTCGTATCTTTTTTGTACTTTCGAGCTTGTGCGTTCGAGATTCGCCTTTGCGAAGAAAGCAATTTCTCCTCATTCCTCGACGAAGCCGTATCCCGGCAAGATGTCCGTCCTCCTGAGCGCGTACCTCTGCACTGGGGTGGTCTGCGCCATCGGGTTCCGGATCTTGCTGGGCGGCTTGGGGATCTGTTTGGGCAGTTCGCTGGACGTGACCATGGAGCTCTCCGTGGTCGAGGGATCGTCCGCTCGTTCGTAGAGCGTCTCCTCGACGCGACGGTCGAACTTCTTGGGCGGCCTAGCCTTCTTGTCCCGCGGCTTCCAGTCGGTCTGTCTCTCGAAGGGCTGCGTCACCCTGAGGTAGCCCACCGCGCCCTCGCTAGGGGTCGCCGTCAAGGTCGACGAGGGTGTCTCCTTGCGGAAGGAGCCGCTGTGCCCGCGCACGTTCACGTACACCCGGGGCCGGCCGCTCTTCAAGTAGTACAGCTTCTCGTCCAGCTTCGGCGATGACCTCAGCAAGACGCGCTTCTCGTCGTCGAAGCTGTCCAGGCGATAGTTCAGGCTCGGACCTCCCATGTCGCGCACTCCGAAAATCGAGTGCGGGACCACTTCGGGGTTCGGATAACCGGGCTCGCTCGGGATTTGCGGCTGCTCGCTGCTCTGCTGCTGATTATTCAGCATCGCGTGCATCAGACCCTGCAGATTCGCCGCGTCCATCTCGTCCGCGTTTCGCAGCTCGATTTCGACGAATCTGGAAGAGCGAGGCAAGTGTTCACCTTTGCATCGAGATTATTGCGCCAGCTTTCCGATATTATGCACTTCAGGATAATCCTACTTGTCACTTATTCCAATGAGTAGTATAAATAGGGTTGGGTAAGTTGGTTTTTTTAAAGATTAAATTAACTGAAGTCAGATCAAATGTTAATTTTTAAAAACATTATTTAACTTGGAATTTATTTGTTAATTCTTGGAAAATTTATAATAGTAAATGACAAAGAAATTTGATATAAAAATATATTTTTTGGTAATTATAATTGATGACAAATAAACAAAAAAATTAATAATAATTTAATTTAAAAATAACACCTACGTTTATAACTTATAAAAAAACAATAATGGTATTCAGAGATGAAAAAATTTAACTTGGGAAAATAATGTTAATACTAATTAACTAGTTATTACCCAACCCAGAGTATAAACGATCGAAAACTATACTGAAGTTGGTGCCAACCGAAAAATTTACGAATGAAAACTAACTTTGGTATGAAATTTGATCGCCTATACTACGCACTGGAATAAGCCACAAGTAGGATTATTCTTGGATGCAGAATATTAGGAATCGCCAGAGATCCAAGCGGATAAAGGCGTTTTTCAGAAAATTGATCCTAAATATACAGCATGAATAACGGTTGCGATTAGAAGCCGTCAACCATCAAAGCTAATCCGACATTACAGCGGTGAGATCAACATCCGCGAGAGATTCGCGGAAGATTGCTTTTCGGGTCCCCGTTATTCGCTTTTCACGACGTTTGCAGGTGTCATTGTTCAGAAATGATTTGATTCCCCTCTTGGCGGAAATTCGCGACTATTAAACCCAACCGCAGCGATTATCGCGGCCGCAATGAAAAAAGAATCGCGAAGCTAATCCGGTCGGTACTTTGCTTTCAAAATTGACGATTGCTCGCCTTCTCCTTCTCTTCCCGCCCTCTTTTCAATCTTATCGATGTCTTAAAGATACGTATTGCGATCACGTAAATCTACCGTCGTTGAAATTCCACGGGAGCAATTACTCTCGGTCGAGTTTCTCACGTTTCTCGTGCGCCGCCACGACGACGGCTTTTCATTTGCCGCTAATTGGGCCGCTTTCTGGCGGTGAGAAAGAACGAGCGGGATTTTCCGCTTTTGTTCGAGCGGCTTAGAATCGCGAGGCCTCGGAGCGAATGTCGTTTCCTAATCGCGGTGAGTCAGTTGGGAGAGTTTCCCGAAGAGAACCATTTAGCTATCGAATGGGGCACCAAGATATTCATCGTCCAATAATATGGGCGTCCGCACAATTTTTTCCAGGAGGGGGCATAATTAGATTTTTTAATTTTATTTTTTTTTATTTTTATTATTTTGTATTAAATATGCAAATAAATTCCAGCGTTTATTCAAAAGGAGAGCAAATGCTTAATTTTTTTTACTGATTCCAATGGGGGGCAGATGCTCCTTTTGCCACCCTTTGCGGACGCCATTAATACACATACATATATATTAGGAAATTATTAAGATCTCAAAAATAAAATATTATCAGTCTTTCTGAAAAATATATCTTGCAACGACGAATCATCGTCCCGGATTATTTCCAACTACACAGTTGAAAGTTTTTTCTGTTAAATTTAATAGATATCACATATCCTAAACGGTCCACGGAAATTTTTGTGTTAATTTAACATAATATGGATATGTTAAATGGGGACACAAATATTATGTCAATATTTTAACACAAAATAAATGCAAAACTTGTTAATTTTAGATTTTATCATCCCCACTTATATTATAAAATAGAAAATCAACATTTTTTCCTGTAAATTTTAACAGATAAATCTTGTCACTAATAAAGCAGAACATATATTTATTGTGTAAAATGAAAAATAGATATACACATTGTGTCATTTTTACATTTTTCTCAGTTGTTTTAATAATTTAACATTCAAGTTCAATTAACAGAACAGTAATAATAAATGAATACACGACGGTGTTAAATATCGAGCACAAAAATTTGAACGGGGACCGTTTTTAACAAGAGAACACAAAAATCTTTCTACTGTGTATAATTGCAAGTTAAAGCGGCGATTCCTAGCGAGCGAAAGTGAATTGCGCAGCAGAACCGCATATATGATATCGATAAGTGCTAGTAAGGAAGAGAAGGCCGCTCGAAGAGCAAACACGTCGCCTTCCTATAGAAATACCTGTAATCCTCGGGTCGGTCTATGTTCACGTCTATGTCTCGCGCGGAGACGTCGAGGGACTTGCCTTCGAGCGCTTTACGCGCCGACAAGTCCTGATCCTGACGGATGCGATTAGGATGCGACGAGGGTGGCCTCGGCAGGACCATGGCCGACGTGGTCAGCTCGAGCAGGACGAGCAACACGACGTTGATTCTCCAAGACATCCTGCAAAAGGACTTATATACGATTTTTCAAAATTACATAATACAGGGTGTCCCAACGAATCACTGATGTGCAGTTAGATTCCCAACGTCGTCCTTCGAAGACGATTTTTCCTCGTCAAAAATGTCGTGACATGTTCCCGATTTTTGCCAGCATGTATTTTTGTAAGACTCAAATTGAAGTGCTATTAAAATAAACTCTACCTGAAATTAACTGAATTAACTGTTAATATTTTATTTTATTATAATATTTTATTATGATATTTTTAATATTTTATTTATATAATCACTTATATATAATTTGAAAATTATTTGTGCCTCGACATTTTTACCGAGGAAAAATCGTCTCCAAATGACGTCATGAATCCACTATAAAGGGTTCATGGGTACGGAACACCTTGTATACTCTATAATATTCTATAATAAAAAGACTTAGGCTTATTGTTAGTACATAAGTAATTTTTAAACACACTCTGTTTGCACCTTCGTGACAAACGGATTAAAAATATTTTACAACTATTTAACAAATATTGTTATAGAGTCTTTGTGCTACATAATTTTTCACAAGTTACGACCAAGATACATAGTTGAAAGAAAATAAATGACGTTTAATTAAAAACCGAATTAATTAACCGAGAAAAAAATCAATACAAATAACATGATATATATAAAAAATATGAAATGTAAAATTTCCAATTTGTCTGGCAGCTCGAAGTCTGCTTCTGCGAATTGAAGGCCGCGATCAAGACACGTCAAAGAGAAATTGAAGGGACCGTTCCAGTCTTGGTCAACGTCCCCTTTACGTAAGAGTCACAATGCATATACATATATGAGTTGAATTGAAATTGCAAAGCCGGAAAGAATTAATAACGTGCGATTAGTCGTTTGGTTGCGCGAGAACAGCGAGACCGAATTTCCGTAATTATGATCTCGGTTGCGCGAGAGTGTAGCGTGTTATATTCTTTCGAGAGTCGGAATAGAGAGGCGGATCCCGGACGATTTCACGAGGCGTTTCCTTCGAAACCGCCGAAAAGCCGCGCAAATAACGGGGCGATGCCGAGACACGCGTCGACGTAACGACGTGTACCCGTTAGTAATAAACGTGGTGAAAGTTTTACGTGCCCGGCCCCCTTGTTCCTGCCACTCGAAGAACAAAATGATACAATTTCTCTTGTTTTTCCTTATTACGTAAGCGCGCGAGAATGCATATACCGAGACAATCGCCGTGTGGAATAATTACCTGGACGGGGTCCTACAATTTTCTCGATCCGTTTCCGAGAATCGCGTTTTTCCGAGAAAACGTAATTAAAACGCCACTTTTACCCAGTCTTGTGCTTAGATGATTTTTAAATTATCCAGCGAAAGATGAGATTAAAATATGTAAATTCATCTTAAATGAGAAATTTATTTATTAATCTAGATGAAAGATAAAATTATATATCTATAGATAACTTCCAAGTAATATTATTTTTAAAACCGCTTATGTAAACGCAGTTGTAAAAAAATGTAAATTATATAAAAATGTATTCATACTTTGATCTGTAAATTTTTATCACTTATGTATTTTTATGCGCTATGGCTTTAATTTTTAGTAAAGATAACACTTTTGATCTAAGATGCAGATATATATTTTTATTATCTATATAAAAATAAATTAAGATGTCAAGATAAATTTCATGTATATAATTTGATTTAAGATAACTGTGAAACACTAGCGAGATACCTGGTTCGCCTAGTTTTCGATCTCTCAACATTCGCGCCGACTCTCTCGAACGATTCGAGATTCGAATCGAGTTGAAAATGAATTTTCAATGCGGCGCGGCGGATGAAATCTCCGCCGTTCTTGTAGTATAAATTTTACACCAGTTTAGCCGTGAAATGATAATTGTCCGCGCCGCTAGCAACGACGATACGTTCCAATAAGCATCCAGCTCTCCGACTCTGATGGCGCAATAATTGAACGGGATCGGGAGATTATTTTCTCGAATAATGCATTCGCCTAGAGCGAGATTGGTCAGATTGTAAGAGACTTGCGTCAAATGTATATCTCCTACATCTCATGCGACATTCGTGTAATTATCAGTGTTGTGCTTATAGATGATTTTTAAATTAGCTAAAGGTGAGATAAAAGTATGTAAATTTATCTTATTGTTAGATAAGATGAAGAGATATATATCCCACGATTACCATGATTTTCAAGATAAATTCTAAGAGAAAATTCTCTCCGTGTATGCATTCATTTTATTTATAAATTTTCACCGCTTACTACTTATGGTAAGTTTTACTATTTTAGTATTTTTATGTTTTTAAAATATGATTTTAAATTCTACCAAAATTATCTGAAAATTATTCTAGATAATTTAGTAAAGATAATATTTTTTCCATCCAAGATGTAGATATAAGTAATACATATTTTTATCATCTACATATATAAAGATAAAATGACGTAAAACTTTCATCAACACTGGTAATTATTACAATGCTGCTGATGATTGGCGCGTTTTCTTTCGAAAGACAAGAAGAGACTCTTTCGAAAGATAAGAAAAAATGCTGCTCGAGAGAGATACGAGTGCGTGAGTAGGCCGCGGAAAAGGCCGCTTTCGTGAGATTTCACGATGAGCCCGGTGCTTTCAGACAGGTTGGTTTCAGAAACGAGGCGGGCTAGGCCACGTGCGATTGTTTTCGCGCGCGGTTTCATCCTTTTATCTCGACGCAAAATCTCCTTTCTACTCTATTATCGGCGCGGCCGAGGAAACGAAACGCATTTCGAATCGTCAAGTAACCAGGATGCCCCATCCTGAAGAACCTACTCGCCTTCGAGAGATCAAATTGTCGATGGTATCTGATTTTCCTTCGTACAAAGCCATAGAATCTTCTCTCCAATTTATACCTTCGATTCCTCGTATTCGATAGTTCCTCGTCGAAATATGAAGACAATGTTTCCCGAAAGAGAACGAATAAAATTGTTGCCTTTTCTCTTTTTTTTCTTTCTCTCTCGGGCGTGAAAGTATATTCGTTTGCAAGCCAAATAAAATCGTTACTTTTTCCATTCTCATCGTCGAAATCATAGGGAACTTTTTCGATTTTATTTGCTACTTTCTCCTTCTGTCGCTTTATATCGTCTCCCATTAGAAATTTATTAAAAGGCTCAATGGTCCATAGCCCGCGGTAATTACTTTTTCACAAAAAAAAAAGCGGAAATAATTATCGAGCGGTTTACATATCGACCAAACAATTTGCACGTACATCGAATAAAACGATATAAGTGGTTATAAAAATATCGCAATCTAATTTGCTGGTAATTTTATTAGCCAAGAATACGATTGTTTTTTTCCGCCGCTGAAAGATCTCCGAGGATCTCTAAGAGATTGAGATCGCTTTTTAAATCATTATTTCACACGCAATTAAGTAACAAGTTTAAAAAAGTATATATAATATTTCAAGACAAATATCTCTTCGATAAGTTCTTCGACATCACACAATTTAATTAAATTACTGCTATATACTAGAATAAAATATTAAGTAATTTGATTAGACTAATGACTTCCCTGCAGGAAAGCTACATCCAAAGTATGCAAAGAAAATGATCGTACAGCTGCATATAAAATATATCGAAAGTGGGATGCTTTAAATCGCGAATAAATCTTTCACAAAATAGAGACTACATTAGAATATATATATATATATATATATATATACAGAGTATATCAGAACTGAAAAGTTTTTAATGGAAAATGCCTGGTATCATTTGAAGGCGATTTTTCCTCAGTGAATAATTTTCCAATTATAAGCAGTTGCAAATAAAGATTTTTTTGGAAACTAAGCCTTGTGGAAATAAAATATTAACAGAATGAGATATTTTTCAGTTAATTTTAGCTAGAGTTTGCTTTAATAGAATTTTAATATAAGGCTTCGTTATAAAGATACATGATAACAAAAATTGGGAACATGCTAAAAATGATGGCCTCCCTCAACATTTTCACTAAGGAAACGTCTCCAAATGATACCAGGAATCTGCCATTAAAAACTTTTCCGCCAGTTCTGGGACACCCTGTATAATAAAATAGGATTCTCTCGCAATAGTTCTCCGCCCGTAATCTCGCATTACCGTTTGCTCTCGGCAAAAGTATAACGGGGAGTCCCCGGGTGTTCTCTCTCTTTCCTCGCGAGATCTACTCGGCCGATTCACGTCGCCAGGTAGGTGTGGTTCGCCCACCTCGATCGGCGGCGAACAGGTTCTCTTAAAAAGTGCAAGTGCAATCGTTGCCCCGGTGAACGTGCTCGGCTAACGCTCGGCGAAGCGGAGCGTGCGACTCCACGTGGAGTCGAACTGTCAAACGGCGGCTCTCACCGCTCGCGCGCTTGACATTTTTCGTGTCGACGCGACGTCATCGACATGCCGACCGCAGTGCACTGCCCTGCATTTTCTTTCTGTCGATTTTCTCCCCTCACATCGTTTATGCGATCTACACGAGCCTAGAATATATTATCTAAATACAAATTCAAGTATATAAAAGGCCAGTTAAATTTCTCTAAAATCATGGCAGTCGTGGGTCAATATATAAGTTTCTCAGATTAATATTTTTACCGCAATAAAAAAATATTTATATCTATACCTAATAAAATATAAAATATGCTCGATTAATTTTACTATGTACATACATATTGATATTTTATAATACCATATTTTATTTCACGATTACCATGATTTTCAGGGTAAATTCTAAGAGAAAATTCTCTCTATGTATATTTCTTTTGAACGTTTCGATCCTCTTTCTTTGGACCATCTTCAGCTTCCCATCAAAAGAAAGTAGAGAAGAGAACAAAGGACGAATCCTGATCTCTGCATACTTTTTCCTTTGATATTCTGAGGATGAACCGAAACGTTAAAAATAATTGTATTGCGCCTAATATGTGTGCTTGGCTCTTCCTGGTCCTTTTTACAACTAAATTAATATTTATATATCAGAGTTTTTCAATCTGTCATTTTAATATTATTTAAAT